CCAGGATTTGAAACAGGGAAGGAAATGGGAGGCCACAGCAGGAGGCGTGCGACTTTGATCCTCAGGTGTGGCTTGGACCTGTCCAGATGCCCTCACCTGGACAGGCGCGGCAGACCCGACAGGTCTGCCCTTCCACCCTTTCCCACTGCAGCTGACGCTCCACACAACTGCGCCCCAGTCTTCCCCCACCCCCTCTCTACACACACGGACTCCCACGGTAACCCTTAACAGCTCCCAGGGCACTAAAACCCACCATTCCTGTCATCCACTGAGCCCCCCATGGTCTGGCCTGGACCCTCTCCCCCCTCCTGCCCTTCAGACCCCAGACTTGCCTACCCAGCCTGTCATCTGAAGGTGCCTTCCCCCACCCCCCATTCTCAATAAATCCCACCCTGTGTATTTCTCCACACCACTCCCACCCATTCTAATCATATTGAATGAGTCCACTCCTGTCTGTCTTCCCCAGAAGTGCTCTGGGAAACCAGGACTGAAGACCTGTTGTAAGTCTTGTTTTTACTGAAGTGTAACACCCTTGGAAAATTGCACAGACCTCCATCAGTGCATTTTTAAGAAGTGGGTCCACCTGTTTAACCAACATGTAACTCAAGAAGCAGACATGTTCGTAGACCCTGCCCTTCCACCCCGGAGAATCACACGTGGTTCATGATTTTGGCTTGTTCCAGAATATCATGCAAGGAGTATTTTACCAGAGGTGCCTTTTATCCGGCCTCTCCCCAGCATGACAAGTGCACACAGCAGTAGCCCCTTGCTTCTCATAGCTGGATGGCTATCCAGCATATGAAGGTGCTGCAGGTTATCCATTTCTGTGGACAGATGTTTGGGGGTTTCCTTGGTAGCTACTGCCAAGTGGTGCTGCCATGAATAAACCTTATATATCTTTTGATGCCCATGGTGCTCATTCCTGGCAGAGAATATCCTAAGAGGGAAACTGTAAGTGTTCAGCTTTAATAGATAGTGACATGTTTCTAAAGCAGTTGCACTAATTGAAACTCCTGCCACGGGAGTATGAGCTCTGGTACCGCTGAGGCTCAACACTTGGTATTTTCTCTTCTTCATTTTAGCCATTCTGGTAGGTGTGGGGATCTCACTGTGGTTTTCATTTGTGTGCCCGGATGACTGATGAAGCTGAGCACCTTCTCAATGTCTGGACCACTTGGACAGCCTTGTGAAGTGTTGCTCCAGTCTTTTGCCCACTTTTTAATTGGGATGCCTTCTTCTCATTGCAGTTACACGTATACTTTTTTTTTTTTGAGTGGAGCCTCACTCTGTAGCCCAAGCTGGAGTGCAGTGGCACGCTCACGGTCATCGCAGCCTCGACCTGCTGAGCTCAGGCGATCCTTCCACCTCAGCCTTCCAAGTAACTGGAACTATAGGCGTGTGCTACAACACCTGGCTAATTTTTTTTACTTATTGTAGAGATGAGGTCTTACCAAGTTGCTCGGGCTGGTCTCAAACTCATGGGCTCAGGCAATCCTCTCACCTCAGCCTCCCAAAGTGCTGGGATTATAGGCATGAGCCACCACGCCCAGCCTCACTTTATTTTTAATTTTCTTTATTTTTGAGTCGGAGTCTCACTTTGTCACCCAGGCTGGAGCACAGTGGCATACTTAGGGCCACTGCAGCCTCAACCTGCTGGGCTCAGGTGATCCTTCCACCTCAGTCTTCCAAGTAGCTGGGACTACAGGCACATGCCATGCCTGGCTAATTTTTTTTATTATTTATTGGAGAGACAAGGTCTTGCCAAGTTGCCCAGACTGGTCTCCAACTCCTGGACTCAGGCAACCCTCTCACCTCTGCTGGGATTACAGCATGAGCTACCATACCCGGCTTTACTCATACACTTTAGATGTGAGGTATCAGATATTTATTTTTCACATCCTTTTAAAGAAATCTGCCTATCCCAAGCTTAAGAAGATATTCTTCTGAGTTTTTTCCTAAAACTTTTAGAAATCTTAGGTCTGTGATCTGTCTGGAATGGGGTTTTCATGTATGATATGAGGTGTGGGGGTCAGATAGGGGAGTTTTCCTTACAGAAGTCTAATCGGCGCAACATGTTTACTGAAAGACCACGTTTTCCGCTGCACCAAAGTCTCACCTGTCATGGGTAAATGACGTAAACAACGTCTGCTTCGTTGTCCACTGTCTATTCAGTACCTACGACAAGGAGACCTTCAGCAGACATCAGATGGGCAGGTGACAAATGAATAGCTCAGCAAAGCTGGCCTGATGCTGTGCCAGACCCCCAGCCTCTGAGCCTCTTGGAGGATGGCCACATCGCCCACAGCCTCAAGCCCTGTCCTGACCTCAGTGCAGATCACAGAACGGTTGTGAAACTGACGACTTCGGTTGCTCAGCCTTAATCAATTCATCACTTCCTCCAGCTTTGATCCCCTTAGAGTCTCCTGACGCCTTGCACATTAGAGGCCTCCTACTGGAGCTCCCCCGTCCTCACCACGGGGCTCCCTGGGGCTGGGGCTTCCTAAGCTGTTAATGCCTCTCCCCCGCCCCCAGGAGAAAATCTGCCCCGCAGCCACAGCACATAAGTGGTTTCCACAGTTCGCATTTTTTTTTTTTTTTGAGTTGGAGTCTCACTCTGTCGCCCAGACTGGAGTGCAGTGGCCGCTCCTGGCCACCGCAGCCTTGACCTGCTGGGCTCTGGCGATCCTTCCGCCTCAGCCTTCTGAGTAGCCGGAATTACAGGCACGCGCTACCACGCCCGGCTGATTTTTTTTTATTTATTGTAGAGATGAGGTCTCGCTGCCCAGGCGGGTCTCGAACCCGCAGGTTCAGGCAATCCACTCACCTCAGCCTCCCAAAGGCGCGGGATTACAGGCTGAGCCACCGCCGGCTCGCAGACACTCTTGAGGCAGGGAAGGCTTCACCCTTGGGCTGAGGTCAGAAGTTCAGCTTCCAGGGCCATGCGCTGCCAGCAGATTCAGACCCGTCAGCCCTGTGGACCGTGTGGCGCCACACCGGTTCCTAAGGGTCTCCAGGTACCCAGCAGGCCAGAGCACTAGCCTGGAGTGTGGGGTGTGCAGGATGCAGTCCAGGGTAGGGACACCTCTGGTAAGTCCCTTGTGCCCCTGCCCCTGCGGGGTGAGAGGGGTATTTGGAGAACAGGACTCTGGAGTTTCCCTAATATCCTAATTCAGATGCTCCCCAATGTACAGTGGGGCTGCATCCCAATAAGCCCCCTGCACGTTGGAAATAGCCCGCAAACGTCGTAGCTTAGCCAAGCCTTAAATGTGCTCAGAACACGTCCATCAGCCCGAGAAAGTCATCCAACACAAAGCCTGTGTAATAAGTGTTGCATCTCTCGTAACCTTTTGAGTCCTGTACTGAAAGTGACAAACAGAATGGCTGCATGGGTACTTGAAATACAGTTTCTACTAAACACATAGCACCTCTGTACCATCCTAAAGTTAAAAAAAAAAAATCACACATGAGGAAAAGCCACGGAGGGTGCCCTCTTCCATCACCTGCAGGGGGCGGGCTAGAGTGCTTGCCTCCTCTGGGTCTGAACTTGGGCACTTCTCTGCAGGGAGATGGGACAAGCACCTGGGGACCCGGGTGTGTGAGGCCCAGGCAGCAGGCTAGGGCTTCAGGCTTGTGGCGCCAGCCAATCCTAGCCAGCGTCCCTGCCCCCGAAGAGCAGTGCGGTTGCTGCAGAGCCGCTCCCACCTCCCCACCCACGGAGGCACATGCTGCTTGTTTTTGTTTGTTACTCGTCCTGCCCTCCACCGGCCATCGGCAGAACAGAGAATCAGAGAGCACCAGACACTTCAGCAAAACTGTAACAGTGTCGTCCTCACCTGCCTAATTATCCCCGCCTGTGAAACAGAGCTTTCGCGCTATTACTTAGATTATTGATATTTCATACTCTGCCTTGCACTGGGGAAGGAGTCACTAAAATCAGGCAAAACTTGAAATCAGTAGGTGAAGTTTTTTAAAACGAGCATCAGCCTGCTGCCAAAGAGGCGGGTGAGACCCCACTGAGCACTTGTCACACTTAATCAGGGTGCCATTTGCACTCCCAAAGAAAACACAGACATTAATTTTTCAAGCTCAAGTCTAATTCGCCATCTCGATGAACAGGGGCCAATTCCAGGCCTGCGCATTTCCTCTCCAGCCCGTACAGACTTCAAGCTGAGGCAGCGGTTAAACAAGACCCTTAACCTAATGTGCGTGTTTCTTAAATTAAGAGTGCTTTCCTGACTTACCGCAGGCAGAAAAGAATCGTGCATTGTGTTCCTGACAAGACTCAGAGATCAAAGCTAAAAAAATTTCTTTATGCACAACTGTAAATGGCCAGATGAAACAAGAACATTTTTATAGAAACAAAAGTACACAGGGCAGCTGGGAAGTAAGAAACCTCCGAAGGCAACTGGCCGAGATGTGCGGCCCCCCATGGCCTGGGTCCCCAGGGTCTCAGCACAGAGCCAGTCTTCCAGGAAGTCCCGGCTGGGGGACTGAGTGAGCAACCACAGAAGAGCCAAGCCTGCGTGCTCATCAGCATAACCAGACCCCACCCTCACCAGGGGATGATGGGGTTTTTATTCTCCAAAATACACAAGAGTTGAGAAACTGGTTGGGTTTGCTGGTGTGGAGCGTCACACACAAGGAATACAGTATGTCTGCAGGTTTTTAAGGGCTGTACAAAGGAGAAAGACCCAAAGGAAAAACACTGTAGTGGTACCAAGGGTTTCTTCCAGGTGATATGAGTGTTTGCTTCCTGGACTGTCCACAATGAATCTGTAATTTTTAAGCTATTTTTAAATTAGCGACAGCATTAGACTGCTTAAGGGACACATTCTGACCCTGCGGTGAATCACAGGGCTTGTGTGCCATGACAGCACTTGTGAGCTTCTGTGGTGAGATTAACTCCTTACACCCTCTCCAAGAGCAGCTGGTAGGGAGAATGTCGTAAGAAAGGGGTCCACGGCGAGAAGTCCAAAGCGTGTTTCCTGTATGATTAACCCATGGAGATGCTGGCTCAGTGGCAGAACAGAAGTTAAAAGAAGAGCTCCTCCTCCAGGAAAGAGACCACAGAAGTCTCTGGTTTGATCCTGTGTTCTGAGAGCAAGGACAGAGTCTAGGAAAACACTTCTCTGCATGGACAGGTGCAACATACAGGGCCCAGGTTCCCAGACAAGGCGTCCTAGGGCTCCGGCAGTCCTGCCACCACTGCTGCAGTGGGCTCTGGGGCTCTGCCCCAGGAAGAGCACGTGGAACCGAGTCTGAAGAGGGGACCAGTCTATCACTTGCTAGACCACAGACAAGTGTCAGACCCAGCTGGGCCTAGGCTGCCTCTGGGACATGGCATGTGTTGTGCTCGACCCCAGAACCTCTCAGCCAGATCTGGCCCTACCAATACATTCTGGGTGACATCCTCCCTGGCCCCAGGTACGGTTGCCACCCCTCCCCTGCACCATCCTCAGGGTTGTCGGATGTCGGGCTAGTGGCCTTTCCCTCCCTCTTTCCCACCCCTCTTGGCCCGCAGGGAGCTGCAGGAGGAGAGTGGTCTGACGGTGGACACACTGCACAAGGCGGGCCAGATCGTGTTTGAGTTCGTAGGTGAGCCTGAGGTGATGGACGTGCACGTCTTCCGTACAGACAGCGTCCAGGGGACGCCCGTGGAGAGTGACGGTGAGTCTCAGGGGCCTGCTCCCCTCGCGGTTTCGCGGCTGAGAAGGAAAGCCTGGACCCTCGCCTGGCTGGAGGAGGGCCTCAGCCCAAAGCAGGTGCGAGCCTCGGGCACAGGCAGCCCTTGTCTCCTCCACCCCACAGCACAGGCCTGTACTCAGTGCTTAAGCCCCTAGCTCTAAGAGAAGAGGTGTGGTCGTGAGGATTAAAGAATATCAGGTTCCTCAAAGAATCACGCAGTGACTTCCCACAGGCCAGTTTAAGTTTGGGGTGAACATCGGTGCTTCCTTTCTGTCCCTTGGTACAGAAATGCGCCCGCAGTGGTTCCAGCTGGACCAAATCCCCTTCGGGGACATGTGGCCGGATGACAGCTACTGGTTTCCACTCTTGCTTCAGAAGAAGAAATTCCTCGGGTACTTCAAGTTCCGGGGTCAAGACACCATCCTGGACTATACACTGCGCGAGGTGGACACAGTCGAGCTGGAGGCTCAGGTGGCCCCTCTGAGTGGGAGACTTGGCTGCTGAGCAAGCTGTGCGTGTTCACCCAGGCGCGGTGAGCCAGTCAGGCCTGCTTCTTTGTTTGGGATGTGGTTAGGCGGAAAGGGAAATAAAGGTCTTTTACGTTTTTAGCCATACTTCACCAGGTACCAGCACAACCCGCCAGGTCCCGTCCGCAGTGAGCTGCCAGGCGTGCTGGGCCATGACCTGCACTGCTGGGCAGAGGGGAGAGGATGGCATCTCTGTCCCCGAAGTGGACAGCCTGCGGAAGCCGGGGGTGTATGTGTTCAGTGCCACGGGCCAGAGTCGTGTGCTCCTCTCACCACCAGCCCCCTTCTGGTCAGTGGGAAACTGAGGCACAGCCAAAGGCTCAGGCTGAATGCCTCCCAGGCTAGTTAGTTCCTCCCCTGACCAACTTTCACACATCCGCTGACACTGCTCATGTGAATTTACTGATTAGAAACTTCAGATCGTCTGTAAACAATTCCAGTTTATTAGATGTCGCAGTAACTGACTCCTGCAGTCGCATAAAGTGCTTTCGTACATAAACTGACCCGTGCACAGCATGAGCAAAGGCCTCAAATACAAAGAACGCCCTGACTTCCTTCAGCTCAGTCCCACGTGGCCCCATGTCAGAGCTCCCACATCAGTCTTCCCTTCACAGCTGCCTCTTAGGCCCAGGACAGGAGGAGTCTACTCGCACCCCTAAGTAAGCTGGACACAGGTAGGCAGCCTGACAGAAGTGTTCTCCGCGTCCCCATCTAGTCACACACCTGCTCGCCACGTGCCATCCAAGCTAAGGCTGCCCATGACCACAACAGGATTCTGAGCAGCAGGCAGCATCTCCGCCGGGATCCCGTCACATGGGGCCTCCACCTGGAGTGGGAAGCGGCCCCTCATCCCCCAGGCTGGCCCGAGCCCAGGGACCAGCACAGGCACAGGCAGGCCCGGGCCAAGAAGTGACCGAGGACACCCTTGTTGCCGGCTGGTGCCTGCCTGCTGCCCGGAGGCAGCGCCCACCCCGCGCCCACCCAGGCTCCTGCCGGAGACAGGCCGCCCTCCTCGCCCCTGCCCTCCTCCCCGCACCTCCATCCTCAGCCTCTGAAGCACGACACGAGGACTTGAGCCCTTGCACCCCAGGAGTTTCCACCACAAGGAGAGGCCGCTGGAAATAGGACCTCCTAACTGCCACTCACGCCAGAGTCCCTGCCAGGAAACTCCCTTCAGGAAAGTTCACTTGGACGTCTTGGTGCAAGGATGCTCCTTAGTGACCTTGTGCAAGGGGTCCAAGCTTTGCCTTCCCTGGAAACAAAGAGCCCCCTGGTGCCCAATGTCCACCTCAACCCTTCCCGTGACCTCCAAGGCCCAGGCCAGGAAGCAGTGCCACCCTGTTGTAGCCCCAGGGACTCCAAGGCTCGACTGTCCTGCAGAGGGGATGGGACAAGAAGGGCCTGGCAGTATTCAGCCCAAATGAGGGTCACACTTTAGGATCCAGTGTCACAGTGTCAGAAGGGGGCAGTCCACAGAAGCAGAGAACTTATTTCTACAGAGGAAGATAGAAAGGCTGGCACAGCCCCAAAACTCAGAGACACTGGCTAGTGGTTCTGTCTGCCTGTCGGACTCTGCAGGGAACTCTGCCTTCTTGTCTGGCCAAGAGGGAGCAGATGGCCCCACACTGCAGGGGCAGGCCCTGGTTCCACAGCCAGCAAGTCACGGTACTGCGTCCTCCCAGTGGATCGATGTGGCTATCTCCTGACCCAGGAGACCCTCCTTTCCCCCTGAGCTGAGTGTGACTCGGCTCACCCTGGAGGACTACCTACTGTAGGACAGACAGTGAGCCTCCCTGGCTATCTCAGAGACTGATGCATGTATGTCCAGGCAGAAAAGAAAAATTCCATGTTAGAATGAGGAAAGAGCCCCTAGGAGTCTGGGCAGCCTCCCTGGAAGAGAGGACCTCGTCCAGTGTCTCCCCCCAAAGAGAAAAATCTGCTTAAAAGGGGGTTCACCGCAGCAACACAGATCCCGCCTAAACCGCCTAAACAGATGTATCCCCTCCACCCCCACCGTGTCCTCTGCCCAGGCTCGCCTCTTCCAGCCACTGCGCCACACAACGTGGACCCTCACAACGCCCACCCAAAGAACAAGGAGCAGAGAATCCACACAATGAAAAAACGGCGTTTCCAGCGCTCCGACAGACAGGAGGAGCCTCCACTCACAGAAGCCCAGACACCTGATCTTGCCTTTTGTCTTCCAGACCTCAGACCAAGGGCACACGTTGGGTCAGTGTTGGGGGGAGGCCAGGGGAGCCACGAGGACACCTGACCCTGGAGGACAGTCCTAGCCCAGGGCTCCCAGGGTACCGAGTGGAGCACATCCCCTAGAAAGTCAGCACTGACTGCACCCACAAGTGGAACAGCATCAAGCGGCCTGGCCGTACCGTCTTCCTGCCAGTGTGCACACAGCCCGCTCGGAGTGGGTGCTGGCACTGGTGAACCATCTGCCCCTTGCTGTCGGTGGGCAGCCAACGTGCCAGGCTGCAGGCCAGTCCTGTCCTCATCTTCCCCTGCTCAGCTGAGTCAGCCCCCACGAGGCTGTCCCTCCCGCCTGTCCCCGCACCTAGAGCCCCCTCCACCTCCTCCGGCATTATCTGCTGTGTGACCCAACCCTGCTCCCCATGCTTCCCCCAAAAAGACCATTTCAGAGAATCCTAGCCCCTTTCACCACAGGCCAGCAGGCCACAGGGCAGGGCCCTGGGGAAGGAAGGAACGGGCGGCTGGAGACAGGCGATGCAACTGCCCCGGGTGGTCTGTGGCCTCCTTGGGTGCCTCGGCATCATGTGCGATGACAACCTGGCCCACCCGGCCCGGTGGGAGTGAGCGCCTCTGCTTGGGTGACATCAGCCCTGGTTGGGAACACCACGGGGTGGGTACCACCGTGTGAAGGGAATTACACAGGAACACACCGTTTAGAAAGAGGTTTTAGTGAGGCCACAGGGAGCACCCGCCTCGGCCTCAGACACTAGTGAGGACACAGGCCATCTTCCGGCGGGGAGCACGGCGGGGTCAGCGCGCCATGTGGTCCCACAAAGAGGCAGCTGAGCTTGGGCTTCAGATCGTTCCACACCTTGCTCATCTGAAGGAGAAGAGGAAGAAGGATCAGCAGGGGGACCTGAGCACCATCCCATGACGCACCCGCTCCAAGTCCTTGTCCCTCAGGACACCCCACCAGGGGCAGGGATGGAGAGCACTCAGGAAGGGGCACCTGGGGGACGTCGCCTCCTCGGGCTCTGGGCTCTGCTGTCTACAGAACCTCTAGCAGAACAGTAGTGGCCTATCCACAGATGAAGCCTATACAAGGAGTGGACAAAAGGCCCAGGGTCACAGATGCCTGTCCCTCTGTCCCATGCACATAGGAGTAAAGGGCCACAAATCTGCTTGACATGGAATTTTTTTTTTTTTTTGAGTTGGAGTCTCATTCTGTCACCCAGACTGGAGTGCAGTGGCCGCTCCTGACCACTGCAGCCTCGACCTGCTAGGTTCCGGTGATCCTTCCACCTCAGCCTTCCAAGTAGCCGGAATTACAGGCACACGCTACCACGCCTGGCTGATTTTTTTTTATTTATTGTAGAGATGAGGTCTCGCCAAGTTGCCCAGGAGGGTCTTGAACCTGTGGGCCCAGGCAATCCACTCACCTCAGCCTCCCAAAGCGCGGGATTACAGGCTGAGCCACCGAGCCCGGCTTTGACGTGGAATTTTAAGAAACCTGATTGCCAGGTCATCCCCAGTGTGTGCTAGCAGCTTTGTAGACACTGGCCTTCTGGGAGGTTCGGCAGGTCAAGCACCAAGACAACATCCACCAGATGAACAGAACACACACACAAATGGAAAACGGCACACCCGCCAAGCACTTTTGGAACCATGGTGAGGCAGAGATGCTAGGGACACCAGGTGGAAGCTTGGTCATGTGGTGGGGGTCAGACCATGCCTGCAGTGGACAGCAGGGCATGGCCCTGGGATGGCAGGCGAGGTCGAAGCACTGGGTCAAAGCATGCCACCCAGCATATCGGACTGGGGATTAATCAATCACTACATGAAAAACCTCCCAGGAACAGGGTTATCACAACATGCCCCAGAAACAACACAGCCCTCATCCCGCTAGTCACATTCCTTCAGTGATGTCACAATCGGCCACTCCAATGTTCAGGCCTAAGCAGGTCACCTGAGACACTTCTGTCAGCATCATGCAGTGAGCTCCTAATGTGTGTGTCTGTCTTCCTATCAGGCCCACTGCTGCCACCTCAGCCCAGGCCTGCGGTTCCCAAACTGCCTGAGGCCCCAACCAACACAAAGGGACAGTGTGGAATACCTTGCATGTTCTGGGAACACCAGCACTGCTCGTCAGACCACACAAACCACTGCCATGAAATTGTTGGAAGCTACTTAGTAAACAAACTGAAAATGTCATCTGGCTTAGGAGGCTGTGAAAACATTACTGAGAAACTAAGCACCAAGAACTCAAGAAAGCAGGGAAACTTGTCTCAAGCTGTCATGATTTCTCACCTAACATGACAGCCCTTCTGTCCCACAATCGCTTGAGGGGGCTCTTACTATGGTCCTCCTGTCCCACAGTCACCCAGGTGTCACACACGGTCCTCAAATCCAAGTCTCCTGGGTGTCCTGCCAACAGCATAGATTCCTGAATCCCTGCCCCAGAGACTCCAATTTGCTCTTAGATCTGGGGCAGGTTCTGCACCCCAGAATCTGCATCTTGCACAAACAGGTGGTTCTGGCAGGGCTGGTTCTAGACCAGGATCCAGATGGCCATGACCTGGTCACTTGGAACTACTTCCTGTCTGGCTGGACAATCTCCATCTCTCACCCAACCCACTCTGTACAACGCTGCCAGTTACCTTCTGGACTCCGGGTCTGAGCTCGTGTTATCTGCTGCTTACCTGAAGCTCTCGGAGTCCTCCACACAGAGACACCCACTCCCTTGATGGCCCCTGGCTCTGCACAGGCCCTATTAGAGCACAGGGAGCCCCTCCCCCTCTGACCAGCCTAGCTCTCAGATCTCCCATCAGTCTATGTATTCCTTGGTGACGGACAGATGTCACCCAGTCACACCCAGCATATCACAG